TCTCTCTCTCGCTCTATTTCTCTCCCCCGTCTCCCCCCTCTTTCACCCTGCCTCTCTACCTCTGCACAAGACAACACTCTCATGGCATCCCTCATAACACACAGACACGTCCATTCCTTTCAAAAACACCATTGGCTGAAAACAGCTCTCTCTCTCTCTCTCTCTCTCTCTCTCTCTCTCTCTCTCTCTCTCTCTCTTTTTCTCTCTCTCGCTCTCCCTCCCCTCAACCCGAAATAAAAATAATATAATCCTTCAACGACAGATATAAATAATCCATTGTTTTATACCACCTTTATTTCCGTTCTCGTCTTTGCTTCAACTTCAACTGGGTTTAGACAGTGCGCTCGGCTCAGAAAAGCTCAACAAGAAACAAAATGAAAAAAGCAGGGTTTTCTTTTATTATTGTTGTAAGGTCACCACACAATGACGGATGATGGACGCCTTGTTCACGTGGGCAACAGGCTTTCCCATCGCAGGCCAGACAGCGAAAGTTCAAAAAGGTCGCTCAAACGCTGCGAAAGATCAGTGTGCTTTTTTGTGCGATATGAAGATGATGCCAGAGTTGGCAGGCGGTTTAAAAATATTTTTTTGTTGGGAAAGTGTTTACAGCAAGTCATGATTTTTTCCCAAACATTTTATGATCCCAACGACACAATAGATCATACAGGAGGCGGGCTGCTTCGACTCTGCCTGATAAGATGAAAGCGAAAGATCACGTCAGTATGTTGGTGATCTAGCGCCTGTAAAATGGCAGCTTCCACTGTTTGCTACCTAGGAAGCTGAGATTGTTTCAGAACACTATCAGGTCTGTTGGGGTAATAATATAGATGGTAAAGCGCATAGAGCCTGGTGTTGAGCGCGAATTTGCGCTATACAAATAAGCTATATATTATTATTATCATTATCACGGGTTTATTATTATTATTATTATGAATCTGGGTGTAAAATTATACGATATTCCGGGGAAAAAACAACAGAGATAATCAACAAAAAACTGACCCCCCCACACACACACACTTTCTTTGTTTTTTTATAGCAACTTTAACCCTGAGAGTTGTTTTGGTTTTTTTTTTACAAATCTTCTACTCGTACATTCTGAGCATCATGGAAGACCAGTCTGTCCTCCTCGGGGGATCATTTCTCTCTCTTTCTCTCTCTCTCTCTCTCTCTC